GGAGCAGAAAGGACCTCAACAGAAATAAAGCGACAGCAAATTTCGAATGGAGATGTGGAGTGGAAGCTTCACTTCTTCCTGCGATTGGGTCTTCTATGTATTTCCCGTTGTGGTGAGATGAGTAGCCGCTATTTGTCATCTTTTCGGATGCCTCAGCTTTCTCACTTTCCCATCATCATTCACTGGGTGTGTCCTTGCTACTGTTATCAGAGGATTTAAACAGACATGTCGCACTACACTTGTACCATCTTTCATTCCTCGAGACGTACAGATAGATCCAAACAACTGGATCCCATCATTGCACGTTGCTTGAGACTGCTCAATTGTTCCTTTCGAGAAAGGTGACCTCAAAGGCGACTAGAAATCGACTGCTTCTTCAAATCGCTCATAGTGAGGTCAGCTATTTATATTAAATCACCTGCAGGTAGGGTAGATGGAAATTTGCATCGAAAGCCACTTTGTTTACCGACTTCATGGCTGTGTCAACAAAGTCAGCGTTTTGCTGATCACTGCATTTACCTTTATCCAACCATATGTCACCTATTACTCAAAAACTTATACTCTGATATTAATTGTCGTGAAGGGAGAGGGGTAAACACGAGCAGAACTGCATGCGAAGAGCTATTTTTGTGCATGTTGATTCCAGCGATACCATTCTTTTACTATCCTTTTTCTTAGTCGATATCACTGTACAGATATATTCATGCCTACCAGTAGATGTGAGTCTTTACAAGCTGGAAAATCCCGGTGACATACTAGCATTGCTTCCATTCACTGACTTTACAGAGCGCATCAGTTCCAGTTGACACAGGCAAGTACTTTACGTGGCAGATTATGGATATCATTCAGAAATAAACTTTGGTGCCTTTCAAGCTATTACGACCAATTCTTCTCCCACACGGAATGTCCTCGTGCAGATTCGTTCCTAAAAACCGCTCTAATCTCTACACGTAGTAGTGTCCATGTGAATAAAACTAAAGTAAAACCTGAAGGCTAGATATCTCGTGTATGTAACACTAGCTTGAGGTGAGAATGAAACTTTGACTGAAATAAAGTACACCATAGATAAGATAAAGTGAAATCTCTATCACATAGTATTCCATCAAGAACATGTAAAAAATAACAAATCTTTACAACTTTAGAATGGAATAATTTGTTGTTTTCTTTTCTTGGATGGACGGTGAGTGAAAGTCGCTTTATGTTAAGTGTAGAATGAAGAACTTATCATTCGAAACGAATGACTTATTGTGAAGTGAAATGTAACACCTTGAGGGTGGACTCTCTGGTTACACTTACGTAAGTTTTGGATTCATCGAATGTTTCAAAAAGTGCAATGGAAGTAGTGATGTGGACAGTCAGCTCCCTTTCTCTGAACCCTTTGTATGCGAAAGTGGACCTGGCAATTGCTTTACGGAGATTATTAACCAGGGTCAGCCATGTCGACAGTTTACTGTCAGAAAGTTGTGTGCACTGGCGTAGAGAACATTGGCTGAGTTGTAGTAAGCTAAAACCTGCGATTCACACTGAGCCAGTGAGTGAATTTTCCCCGTGAGTTGCACCAGCACTTGCAAGCATCACGGGGTAGCAACGAACTGCCCTCACAGACAGTATACACGATAGGAATCGTGCACTGGCGGGCCTGGTTACCCATGTCTTGGAATCGGTTGACATCATGGTCGGTCATACATTATTGAGCTTCTGTCATTTACGAGCATTGTTCTATGCATGTGAGTCTTTGTGGGAAATTGGGAATGAGAAGTTAGTTGTCGATGTCACACTGTACGTCTCAGTAACTCCCACATGAACCTACAGTACTGTACTTCATTTGCACAAAGATGCCCGGATTGTCCCCAGGTTGACTTATCATCAGAGTGTACAACTTGTACTGCTAATCAAGTACATCTCATTGAGATGTACTTGAGATCTCAGTACGAACATGATGATGGCAAAATTTCCATAGATACATCCGCCACGTTCTTCATTAGCCTGATGGTTGTGAGACCATCCGAGTAACAATCACTGTGTTGTAGTATTGCAGAACGGTTGACAAGGAGAGAGAAGCACGAAGCCTGAGGATCAGGCTTCCTGGATCAGACTCTGTAGTTTCGATTATTTTATGATGACTGCAGTCTAAGGTGGGGCTTCGTGACCAGTGGAAACACGAATATTGCACAGCATGTAGGCACCATTTATCGTGCAAAATTCCAGTTCCTTAAACATGGAGTCTAGAAATAAGGAAGTGAAGGTCAAGGAGAATAATGAAAGAGGCTTTTGGCATGTTGAAAGCTCGTTGAAAGTTTCGATTTTAGTTATTTTTTTAACCATATTGTGGGATGCAAGATTTCTAAATGATTCTGGCATTTTACAAAATTCTTGTCATAAAATACAGAGTACAGGGACTTCATTGAAATGATGTAGAAGCACCATAACTGAAAATAGAATATTTGACTCGGTATAAGAAGCCATCCATGAAACTGGAGAAACTCTGGTTGTATATTTGAGAGGGGTTACTGTACCTCGGAAAAAGCAATAAACCCCAGTACAAATTTGAAAAATGTGACAAGTGTACAATTTGCTGGAGTATTTCAAGCCAGTCACAACCTTCCAAAGGATCGAGTATTCCATCCTTCTGCCACACATTTCTTACTTCCTCCTGTGACATAACACAGCTCTCCCGACCGACCATCTGCTCGAAACAAAGGTTGAAGTTTCAGTCTTCGAGGAGACGAAGAAACGGAGACCACAGTTGACCGCGAACATGGTCAAGTCACGAAACGCCGGCGAGAAAAGCGCCGTCGGGTGGCGGCTTCTCCCGTCGCTTTACGGCGGCAAGGGAATCATGATCTCCGGTCGGCAACGGTCTCGCGGTCACCATCCCCTCGAGTGTGACATCCGTGACCGGATCCTCTGGTCGCTCGAGGCCTCTTATCTGCTGTTGGGTGGAATTTCCAAGCTCAGTCATGACGATTGAGATCCTGATGACCGTATACAAGAATATTCTGTCTAGATGCGGAACGGAGAGCAAGTTGGCTCGAGCCGTATCTCTGATTTTCGTGCCATACATTTTCCGGCATCCCAGTTGCATTTGGTAAAGTGTTGATCGATAGAAAGTACGCTCACGTGGATTTTAAATTTCTTAAACAAAAATTCTCATGTGTTTTCCTCATAAGGAGTATTGCTATATAATTTCGCTTTAGTATATGTATTTAAAACTAGTCGTTACTAAAAGTATTCTACGAATATACAATCTCTTAAAGTCTCACTGAAATTGTTTTTATGCATAATATCTCACTCCGTCTTTTTCCAAACGGAACATTGTGATATTTGTTGTTTCACAAACTGACAGAAATATTATTCTACCGTTATAGGTTGTGACTTCTATCCATTGTATCTTAGACCTGCCGGCAAAACATGGACTCTTGTTCACTGATTGGATGGTTTTTAAGTGACACAAGCTTTCTTTTCCAATTTCAGATTCTTGAATAGCTTTTAATTCCTTTTTATAGTTGAGATTTTAGAAGTAAAAAATCTTGGTGGGGATTTGCCTTGTCCCATTTGGCAAAAAAGGTTGCCAACGAGTCTTAGATTGTTATGCTATTTGAGATCTGAACAAATAATTTCCTAGGAAATTTTTTGTGATTATCAAACAAGAATAATAGATAATATTACCCAAAGTGAAGCAATCGCATAAGTTGATGATTCTTCAAATACTTTAAATAATTATACATTTTTTAGATATCTATCATGAGCTTTGATAGTTTTACTCTAAATCATCCAAACAATATATAAACAACGAGATATTTCCTCTTGGGTGAACCCTACCACTTTCACCCTTTTACTTATTATTTGCCTAAAATACTCGGGATTTCTTCTTTTTCTGACCCATGACGTTCTTCTCGAAAGTCGTTCAACAAGTTCAATCAGTGCAGACACAGTTGCTTACAGTCATTGATGGCAGAACGCTGGTGGTCCCGAGGCATCGAGCCATACGCAATTCCTGAGAGAACCAGCTCAAAAAAGCACGTCTGATGTTCAGTTTGTGCATCTGTCATGGACTGTCAGTTTGAGCATGTTTCCCTCGATGCCGAATTTTTCTCTCCTCTGTTTGCCTGCTTATGATTAGCACCATGTTCGTACCTCGGTGATGATTATTGCTTATGCAACCATGTAAGAAGCTGCACGCTCATTCACAGCCAAATCTCAAAGCATCAGGTGAAGTTGAATGTTGGTGAGAGAAGACTGTTCTGAAAGTGTTTGCTCTTGAAGCCTCATAGGCCTTGATCAGATTCAGCAGCAACTGGTTCGGATCACGAGAATGTGGCAGGGAATGTTATGGCATTGGATCACATTTTACAAGATCATTGTGTGGCAATAATTCTGCTGTGCAAAGGGTCACCTGCTCCTTGTGCAAATTCATTCTTTGGAATTCTTTTCTTCCAAGCTCATTCGAGACTTCATGCACACAAATGTGTGTATCATAACTATCCTTTTCTGCCCTGCTGAATATTTCATCTTATTGCACTGCTTTGTAACTTTTGCGAGAGATGATTTATGAGTCGTGTAAATCTACATGTATGACAAGGCAAGTGAATTGCTCTGTAGACACGTGGCATTATTTGACTCATTTCAGCATGAAAAGATTTTCTGATATAACATAATAAAGACTACTCACCAGCAAAAGCAACAAACTGAATAAATGAGAGAACGGGTTCAGAGCTCTTGGAAAAACAATATTTCCCAAAGTATGTGACAACGAGCTTGGAGATTATTATTTACCAGAGAAAGGTACAGGTGAAGGGATTTTTCTATCATCGAAAGCTTTTCCAACAGACTTTATGAAAGATACAATCACATAATACCGCACAAAAAAGTGGCATCTTGGATGGTCGAGAGGCTGCTACCTGGCTAAGTAGGAGCATGTTATAGCTTAATGATAAACATCGAATTGAAAAGTCGATAAATTCTTTGCTTTCCTCAATGGCGTTCATCAACTCTTTCATGCTTATCCATTTGCTTTCCGTTAGAACAGAGTTTAGAAAGACTCGCGATGGACGATTTGTCAGTTGTCAATCGTTTTCTAACAGTGATGGGAATGGTTGCAGGAATGGGTGCAGACTTTCTTCTGCACCCATTGCGCGTGAGGTTTTGGTGGGGTCAAGTCCAACTTCCCAACACATTTGCACCAAAAGAGTCGCCCCATAGCCCCCATGGCTCCCATCCCTCTGAACCTGCTCGCAACAGAGCAGCACATGCGCTTCTCCTGGTCCTCCCTTCCAGGCATCGGTCTCCTCGCTCCACTGTCAGTCCGAAAGTGACAGCAATTGACCCAATTGCAATTCTCAAGGTTCGGGATGAGCTGACAATTGGCAACAGAAATGAAATTCGCGAGTTAATTTATGGCCCCGAGTTCGGGCTCCTCATACACGAGGTCCTGCTCAGCGACCGACTTGTCAAGCAGCGCAGAATCACGGCTACGAGCTGATTACGTGCTAGCAGTTGGATTTATCACTGGCTGACAAGAGAGTGCTGAGAAGAGCAATTCGAGTCAAAGGAAGAAACAACGAGCGATCGTCGAGAGGAAGAGGGAGTTCCGAAGAACTAATGTGTGGATGTGAGGTTCAGATCGGTTGGGTGGTATAATTTAAGGCTTTCAGATAAGAGATTCAGCTGGCAAATCCGGCCTCTGTCTCCTTCACTGCATTGTTCTGTGTTGCGATGCTCTGAGCCACTGTCTGCGTGCGTGGCTATGGTTGTGGCTGTACTGGATGCCGTGCTAAGAGTCGATCGATGGCAGAGAGGGCCCAATTTTGTTTTATGAGTTGCGAACTGCTGCATGTCTGGGGAGATTCATCCGCTTGTTCAGCTACTGGAAGCTGTTGCTGGGCTGATCGTTTTGTACTATGGTAGGCCGAGGAGGAGGAGGAGGTGCGAGAATAGAACCGTGCTTCTGCTGCTGCTGCTGCGTCAAGGACGTCATAGAAAGTGTCAGAATGCAGTCAGTCAGTCAGTCAGTGGGTTATGTACCTGCTGCAGTTGAAGGTTTGTTGAACGGAGGGAAGATTCCTGGACACTGCACAGCACTATCTTTAATTCCTCATGCTCTTTCCCATCACTGTCTGCAAACAAAATGTGTGGCAATCTACAGTGCATATCTATCGCCATTTTCGCATTTATCTACAATCTGTACACGGCTCGAGCTTCAGTTCAGGGGTTGAGGAAAAGTGAGAGGGATGGAAGGCTTTAGAGTCACAGGCCAGAGCTCAAGGCATGCATCGGTGACACTTTGTCAGAGACTTTGTGAGATGTAAGAGGAAATCAGCTCCGCCGATGGACACAGAGATCTGGATTGGTCGAGGATGCTCGGGTGGGTGCTCACGTGCTGTCGAAGCAATTTGCGCAGCGAGTATTTATTACTAGTTAGACTTGCAAACCTGCCTCAGGGCCGATGACATGTCACTGCAAATCTACCTTGACTCGACATGCTCACGCAGTGCAGAATGAGAGTCCAGTTTAAGTAATACATTACTGAATTCACGTCAGAGTGCCATCAGAAAGAGCACTAGAACACGCAGCATCGAAAGTAGTTAATTCGAGAGAAGCCCCAGGACCCCAAGACTGAAGCGCATTCCTTGAAGCGACAGTGCGCACGCTGTTGAACACCTTCCATTGCACTCTGTTGTGATGGTGATGTAAATGCCTGTGGGACAGGTGCGTCACTGCATGCACCGGTTTTATATGAAGGTGTTGCAGGTTTCAAAAGGTGTACACAATGTCAGAGCGAGCACCTTTCTAATTTAAGCTTCATTTCCAGCAATCTGATTTTCACACCAAATGCTCGATATGCAGAAAAAATGGCAACACATATACACACATGGCCCGACATATGAGAAAACTCTAACTCTACGTCCATTCAACCTCATTCGACGATTCCTCTAGAGCAGATTCTCAGGACGATTCGTCTTTTGCACAAGGGATGCAGCAGCCCACTGGCAATATACCACACAAGCCTACGTGATACATGTCGTTGCTAGATTTTTCATGCAAGTGTACCTTCTTCAATCAAGACTTGGGGAAACAGCAACTCTGTTGTTACGGGCATAGATCGTGGCTAGATGTATAATTTCAATGATCGCGGTGTCTGAATCGACCTGCATTGCAGCCACCGGCTCATTATGTAGCCTGATCAAATCAACGCAAATGTCGCTAATGTCACTTGGCTCGATCCCGAGGAGTTGTCAGTTGCAAGCGCACCTTGATGATCTTGTCTTATCAGTCTCCGAAAGTGCTGAGAGTGAATTGGCACCATTATGGTGAAACCCTTGGGCATTAGATTCTCCAGAACAGGTAGAAATGGAACCATTTACGGATCGATGCATGCATGCTGTTCACTTTTCAAGTTTGCTTTTTTCAGCTACACCTTTGAAAGAGTTGGACCTGCAGAGCAAAGATTTATGAAGCATTCTCAGACGCATCGTTTTCATCGATCAAAGCACGTGATGAATCTCTTCTTGATGGAAGTAGACGTGTGCAGATGTGCGTGCACTCCTGATTTTAGCACGAACGATTCCTGCACTTCAAGCGAGGGCATGTTTGGTGTTTCAGACAGTTCCAGAAGCCACCGTTTTAATGGTGCTCCATGCCGAATGATAAACGAATGATGTACAGTATGTGGCTGCCGACTACATATTCGAGCAGAACTCAGATGCAGGACGATAATTTCGAGATTTGGGTATCTCCCAGCTCTAAACGGTGTTTCGATTTTATCGACCCTTTAAGCTCATCATCTCATCCACCAGAGTTGACATTTGCAAATGTGAAGTTGCCTGAGTGGGTCTTCTCCTTCCATCTAGCAACTGATACTAATTGTGCAGCAGCATACGTTCTTACTGCTCTCGTGATTTCTCTGCTCAATGATTGTAGTCGAGTCTTCCAAGGTCTACGATCTTTCACCAAAAATCGGTCAAACGAGAAATGCTGAGTACCGAATCTCGATATACGATCTTCGGACAAAAGATTCAAAGGAAGACATTTTCAGATTTGATTTACTTCAAGACGGATGCATGTGAAATGTTCTTCACACCATGTTCTATTGACAAGTTTGTTGACCTTCAGCAGTCTCCCATTTCCTCACTTCTTTCATGGAATGAGTTCCTCCAGGTCCCAATGCTTAATGTAGATCGGCACAAAGCTCGCCTTTACATTTCATCGCAGCAGTGCAGAAGTGAAGTCGTCACAGACGAAGGTGGCTGAACGATGGTTTGGTAAGACTCCAACGAGGAGGAAGCATAATTCTCAGAAGCCATCAGTCATGGCCAAATGGAAGTCAACGGCAGGAAGTGACGCCCTTTCTTAGACTACAACATCTTCTAGTTCATTCTTCTTCACCTGATGACAATCAGGAAATAGAGCCTTCAACTGATTGATGCTCGGGGACGCACTCTCTGCACTCGCTTGAAGGTGATGATAACTCAGTTCTCTTCAAAATCAGTGCTTAAGAATCTCGTTGATAGAACACGGTCAACCAGCGGTTGTATGGACAACTTCTACCAGTTTTATTTCACGCAGCTTGTGATTTTCCTGTACCGTCAAGTCCCTGAGGTTGGATATCCGTATGCACGGGTCACGTGGTCGAGGAGTAAATAGAGTTTTTGGTTCTCTTTATTTCACGATTGTCTCTACGTTGTATTGATATGACTCTCTTTGCCATCCACCACATGATACTTTTAAATTAGAATTCCATTTATTTCAAAGTTTGATCTCACTTTAACCACACAAGGTATAAATTTTAAAGATGTATGATATTACAATTTGATGTACAATAATAATAACATGTTTGGATAATGATATATTCAACTACGTATTATTTCAGGTCAATCTACTTTGTGATGATTTATAATCTTACAATCTACCACACATGCTTCCAAGTTGATATATTTTAGAAAATGTTTTGGATTAGGTTATAATCAGAATGAAGTATAAAAATTTAAGATTAAATCAGTTCATAATGATCCACACAACCTAGTACATATTAGATTATATTATAATGCTATAGAATCTTACAATCTTACCTACTATCTGGGACAGTACTGAGGACAAGCACAACATATTCATAGATAGATTGGGAGGCTTTATAATCTTAGGCAAACACAAACTAATTCAATTCAAGTTCCATTCATGTTCTACCACGAACATGTTAGAGATTAGATTGTAGTGATTTATAATATTTGGACCGATCTCTCTATAAGGTATATAGAAAACACAAGACCCATCGTTAGGGATCCAAGGAAAAGTATTCTTTCTCTTGTTAGTTCTTACTCCAAATATACCATTAAATCACAAGGACTCAATGCCAAACGAACCCACTGGTGTTGTTGCTAACCCACCATTGCACGTTCAAATACTTCCATAAAGTGATGGTGATAAAAGATTCTTCCTCATTTAGATAAAAAACACTACCAATAGTTTCACTTGCATCTATTTTCTACTCTCAACACTCACAGTGCGTCAACCCCTTCCCTATTCATGGTCTCCACTTGGCCACAACATTTAACAGTGACATCCTTGTAACAATAGAGATGTAATTGTCAATACCACTACATTCGGCAACAAAACCCACATCCATAGTGCGGTAAATCACAAGCTTGACCGCATAAACTCGATATTAAGGTCTGAGTAACAGCACTCTTGTTCTCAAGCTTACATGTATTCACGTATGTCATTCCAAGTTTTTCTCATCACGTCCACCTCTTGAAAAGAATGAAAAACTCGAGCTCCTGATCTCAATTTATTCGAGCTACAAAATTGCTCAAGTGGGTGACGTTTCCCCGAAAGTCAATCTCAAGGTAAATAATCTGCTTTGAATAAAGCCTGCACCGCGAATGAACTATCGCCCGGCGGGTGCTTGTCCAATTCTAACCCGAGTCCCCAGCTGCAATGGAAACTAGGAAATATGGTCAAGTTGACAACTCAGGACGGTAGATGCTGACTACAGACTTCGAGCAGCTACGGTCCTGTGTATGTGGTGTTCTGGCCTTCTAATCAATGGAGAGTAACATGTTAATACTCCGTTGTACACGTCGTCTATACGGCATTGACAACGGAGAATGCTGTCATCTCGTCAAACCATAAGATCTAGACCAATCTTCCTGGACTGTCATAGGGACTCGAGTACAAATCGATCTAGAGGTGTACTGGTGAGCGGTGGTGAAGTACAGGCAGTTACTACACCGACACTTCAGGCTTCAATCTAGCTACGAAGCGACGGGTTGAAGTAAACAGAGGTATTGTGCTGCCCTTCCCTCCTATCGTCCTTGGAGACCCATGGAGCTCTCTTGGTGTTGTTCCTGCATGGCCAGCCAGGTAGCCTGCCTATATAGACAGTGTGTTAAGACGCTTCCCTCGCCATTTCAGCTAGTGATTTGTCCTCATGCTCAAAACCTTTTCCATGCCTTGAACAGGTGATCAAGAGGTAGACTCGGCTAAGTCATGAGCTTCAAAGGAAGAGGTAACGCCCTGGGGACGCTCCACAGGTATCCATCATTGACCTTTACTGCTGCTAGAATTTTGCAAAGGTTTCGTAGATTCTTGGCCCAGAAGATGCAATGCAGGTCAACACCTGGCTCACAAATACTCGAGGCAGTGTAGCATGAGGAAGATTTACTGAGCAACTGTCGGTAGTTCTACTTAGTCCCAATATGTCTTTGAAGCTCTGCCACCATCCGTTCCCTGGGGATGGTGGTTTGCTCACTGGCTATGAGGTTTTTCAACTGCACATTCCCTTCTTTGAGTTCATTCTCACCAGCAATAACCATCCATGGAATGCCTGCATTAACGGCGTTCGTAATTTCTCTGGTCATCTTTCCTCCAGCGACACACGCAAACTCTGCCTTCAATTTAGCTGCCCACAGGTCCGATACAAGTTGAATGGCTACTTCTGCCAAGTCCTTCCCCAACACCAGCACCATAACTTCTGTTTGGTTTGTTCGAAGAACCTGTTACATCGACATAATTTCAGATGAGTAACTAATATCCATAATCCCATAACAAGCCGAAATTGTACACGACTAGTTGTTCAAGAAAACAGCGTTCAGAAACAATTCGTACCCTCTTGCGAGACTTTTCTTGTTCCTCCATGATGTTAAAAACACGTTCAATGCCCAAACTGACGCCGACAGCCGGCACTTGCTTGCCACTGAACATCCCTACCAAGTTATCATACCGTCCACCTGCTGCGATAGATCCTACCTGCAATTCCACCACAGAGTGTCAAGACTACTGTATTTTTATTTCTTTACCAGCCTTCTAAATTCGCAGCTTGTATTAAGTCAAAAAAGCTCGACTCCAGTTTCACTTTACGTTCTCATCACAAGGTAGTGAAAGAGCAGATATGGAGGAGTCTTTTCTACTCTTAGTCAAAAAATATTTTTGGCTAGAAAGGCGGCGGGCTGAAAACAATCAAAGCAGAGACAGAAATAAAGAATAACCAAAGCGCGGTATGCATTCAGAACCACAGCGTAAGCAAAGAACCCGGTAGCCTGTGAAAGTTAGTGAGTGCATAAAGTCTGGACACGGAAAGCTTATCATATTCTTGATGCAGATATCACTGGGCACCTTGTCCAGAGATGACGAGTATGATCATAGAAATTCTAAAATGGTAAACGAAAAACCAGGACTTCATCAGCGCCCATCATGATGTCGAGGAGCTGGGCAAAAGCCATCACTCTTTCTAAATTTCTGTCTTCTCAGAGTACCCACAGCCAACAGTTGGGTGGCTCTGTAAGCTTCTTCCTGATCCTGTTCGTCCCTGATCCTTAGCTTACATTGTTGTATGGAAAAGGTGTAGATCCCATGAATAGAACATGTGGAGTGAGAAACTAACCTCAGTGGTGCCCTTGAAAACTGCCTCGTAGATGACGCCCGTGTAATAGTCCAGGCCACGGGCCAAACTAAGGTCGAATACTACTCGATGGATGCATTTAGATGCTTCGAGGTATTTGAAGAGAGTACTTAGTTCTTCCATAGCGGCTACAGAACCCTTATTCTCTAAGAATGGGCTACCCTCCTTCTTCAGCTCCTCTAGCAAAACCAACGGACTGCCGCGCTGTTGCACTAAGGTTCCGATCTTGTCAGCTACCTCGGCTGTCAATCCTTTCACCTCCACCTGAAATTGGCGACGAGATCACATATCAGACTTTGAGATAACCAGCATCACTTCATGGAATCCTGTTCAGATACTACAACCAACAGTTTCTCCACCCTACGATATTATGTTCGACTGATTCTAGACATCGGACGGCTTCCTCGCTCCATACTTCTCACGAAACGATGGCAGCAATTACGAAACTCAATGCCTATTCAAGAGATGCTTTGGCCAAGTGTTGCTTCCCAGAAACCGAAATTCCATTAGAAGTAAGAGACTGCACCATTTCTTTCCGCACTTTCTCCCAGGGCTCCTTGTCAAGCTTATCGATTGCGGAACATATGCTTCTGAATTTACTCTGTGGCACGCCGCAAATCTCCAACATTCCATCGAGAAACTTTCGATGATTCAGCTTCACCTGTTAGATACGTAAAGAACAGTAAGTCAGCCCATCTGATACTTAGAGGCTTGAAACAAAAAAGCACAAGTATAACATACAACGTTGGGTATCACTTAGTCCCTATGCCCTCCGAAGCTCAATGGGCGCTTTGAGAGTTGTATGGTCACTCCAGATGAATGAACTGGAGACGGACTGGACACTGACGGCTCTACTACCAGGTTACTTTGCATGAGATCTTATTCACGTAGCCGGCACTTACCTCGTAATCACCGATATCTAATTCGTCAAGCAGCTCCGTCAATACTTTTAAAACTTCAAAATCTGGGACCATGGGAGCGTACTGAGACCCTGCTATGTCGAAATCGCATTGGTAAAACTCTCTGTATCGACCCTTTGATGGATTGTCACGTCTGTATACTCTTGCAATGTGGTATCTCTTCAAGTTTTCAATCTTATTCGTGGCCAAATAACGTGCGAATGGAACAGTAAGATCGTAGCGCAGTGACAGAATTTCACCACCCTGCAAGAATTTGAAAAGTTTATGAGCAACCAAAGCCGAAAAGCTAAGGTTTCAACTAAACTTCCAGCAGATGAAGATCACGATTGTAGCCACACTCCCTAGGAAACGAGCTTCATTAGGTGCACAGCGAATGACTGATCGATGAAGTGCAGGACAGTCTGAAGGTATGGTGGGACACGCAAGCCAACTTCACTGGTCACTATGTGTTGCTCTCAGTTTTGCTGCGGTCAGGTGTGAAGTCTCTGTACCTGATCAGCGAGATCATAGATGAGCTTGGTATCTTCACCATACTTGCCCATCAAAGCTTCCCTCAGCTCGAACACTGGTGTATCGAGTGCACATGCACCATGGCGCTTGAAGACGGATGCGATGATACCGAAAGCCCTTTCCCTTATGGCCATCTGTTCAGGTGTGAAGTCCCTGGTTCCCTGTGTCAACAACAAAAATGATTAATCTTATCGATCAATATCTCGTTCGCAGGAACCAAAAGAAAATGTTACGAAATTTTTGGTAAAAGTACCTTCGGAGGTTTTGGAAGTCGTCTGACTTCATTGCTCTCCACAACCTTTTTAACCTCACTGACTAGGGTCTTCAGTTCTGGTAAAGAAGGATTCGAAAACTTCTCTAACTCCTGATACCATACGAGAATAGTCTGAGAATCGACTGAATCTCTAGTCGCACTCCCGGTCAAGTAATCACTAAGATAACGCCGCACCATATCTGTACCCTTTCCCAGAACAAATTCCTTCTTTCGATTATTAGCCCCATCCTTGGCCTTCGAACCTTTTCCTCCAGGACCACCCTTTGCATTTCCATGTGTCACCTCATTTCCAGACGATTCAGTTACCTGAGGCAATTTCTCTTTAGCAGCATCCTGCAATGATACTTTTCCAACAGTCAGAACTTCCCTAATCGAGATCGCTGCGAGTGCTACAGTGAGTTCCATTCTCATCAATTTCTTCCACGTTTCCACGAGAGAAGAGCATTCTCTGGAAATGCGCACTTCAAAATTTTCGCGACCAGTAGAGTCCATCCATTCAGCCATACGCATCTCCCACTGCATTGTATAAAATAATAACTCAAATTCCTCAGGTTCCCAACCGGCAGCTAGTTTCTTATTATCCTCACGGAGAAATTCAAGAATCTTGTTCGTGCGCTTTTGACTATCATACATGTTCGGCCAGAGACTCATGATTAACGACATCAAACTAGTTGTAAACAGATACGATGGCGAAGACGATCCGGTGGTTGATGACTTCTCCACTGCTTTCTTCTTGCCCTTGATTTCCACCCTGTTCATCTCGATTCTCAATCGAGGAGCAAAAGACTTGACAGATTCCCTAAGTACGCCATGTGCGGCGGGGATGTTGTGAACAAACTCCGCATCAACCCCTCCTTTCCTTGGGTTCACTAACTTCGAATTGAACAGAATGGACATCAGATCACTCGCAACGTCAGCTTCCGACTTGTGAACAAAAGCTTGCTTGAAACTCTCCGATTCGAAACTCTCTGTATTGGCTAGAAGGGCTTCACAGGACATCCCGGCAACCGCATCTGCAAGAGATGTTAGCGAAGTAAGGCTGTAGTAAGCTACAGCAGCAATTCCCACTGAGGCAGCTGACGAGCTTTCGATAGCAGCCAATTCCTCTTTAGTGACTCCGAAATCTCCTGTCCCGAACTTTTGAAGGCTTGACCTCAATCTGCTTAGAACAACTGTGTCCGTCAATTGTCCAATGCCCGAAATCTCAGCTGGTCCGTCTTCAGGTTCGTCCTTCACTGCACATTCACCGAGCACCTCAAGATGCGCCTTAACTCTGTAAATGCTTCCGGCCACAGCTAAGAGCACAGAAGAATCGTCAGTTTCCACCGGTAGCTCCAGAGAGATTCCTAACCTGAGAACTTCGCTCAGAAATAGAGGAAGGAAGGGCCTAATGCCGGGCTGGCCGATCAATAATTTGTGCAGTAGGACGACCAGTGTAGCTCTTTCTTCCACATCGGACATCTTCCTGTCGGGAAACAACTCGAGCATCTCTCCATGTGCATTCCATGGCCAAGGATCGGGGATGATTGTGACAACCTTTGGAGCTTTTTGAGCTAATTGCTCTAAGCTCGAAGAATCTGCCTGCACGAGAGTGAGCCTGTGCGCCACATTGTAGATGGTTTCCGCTGTGAGTGCCGCGACCTTGCTTCCCACGACAGTTCCCGACACTTTCCCCATTTTGGACCCTCAGGCGACACAACTCGTAATTGATGGAAGATCCTCTTCGTCAATGGGATCTGAAATTGTGCCCAGCCACTGAACCTGGCAGTTTCGCCACGTCCGATGACGAGATTCTGAATTCCACCCTCCGTCGAGGTTTCGTCTCCAAAACCCTGCTGACGGAGACGATCGATTCAGGGTCCGAAGAGATCCCCACAGAAGCAGAAGAATTTCACTTGGTCAGAGAACAGGGCAGAGATTGGGTTTCGCTCCTGCCAAGCAAGTCTGCGCAGTGCCTCCTTCCTCGTGCACAGCCCAGCTGAGCACAATTAGGGTTTTAATGAAGGGTGTAGGAATTTGAAGGTCTCGGTTCTATGGCCTTCGGCGTTACCCAGGACCCAAACTTGTCTGCCTCGTTAACAGTAGCCATTGTGCACCGACATGGCACGGTGAGCAATACTTGGAATCACAACTTGGCTCCCCAAGACATGGATGTGGAATTGAGAGTGTTCAGAGCGTAGAGGGTACCCGATCGATGAAGAGAGTGAAGATGCGAGCGCATTAAATGTAAGTATCGCAAATGTATCGAAGCTGAGGATCGGACCATTTGAAACAAGGAGAGCTGGCACTCTCATTTTCTCAATGATTTAATTGAGACTTTACTTAAATCTCAATCTCTAGTTTTGGTTGTGTATTATCCCTTCGGTACTGAAATGGAAATTTTTATCCTTCGTAAGGTTGCCTCTCTTTTCTCTAACTCGACAACTATGGACTCGGACTGAGTTTGGTATATATGACGGACGCACACTTATGCAACCAAGATTTGGTCACTGTGGATGTTTTTGAGTGATGCTTATGAAGACAGAAGAACATATATTGGTTCACTCTTTCCATACAAGATGTACATTCTCTTGCCCAGAAGTGTACTTTCAATGTTTTTTTAAAAAGTGCACTCTTTATGGGTTTATGAGATGTGTTATACTTCCGACATCATCGGAAGTATAACAGATCTCTAACGCCTCACGTTCCCTTATGTCATACTAACCATAAAGCTTTACATGTTGTTCCATCATCTACCTCCATGTTATCACGGTTGAAATCATTTGATAGCTTATCATTAGATGTTCCCTTATGTCATACTAACCATAAAGCTTTACATGTTGTTCCATCATCTACCTCCATGTTATCACGGTTGAAATCATTTGATAGCTTATCATTAGATGTCATGTGCGCCACATTAGCCTACATCATTAGAAAAATCTTCTCACATGAGTGAAATAAGAGATTTGTCAGGCTGAGGTGTCAGATTTATTTTCATTTAATGAAGCAACCATAGCATTTTGTGACAAATTCTCATCGTTCATCGTATAATATTGTGAATGTAAATACACACATCTTAGACAGTGGAATATATCATTTATGTATACAAGCTCTTAGTCTGACTAATCCTAGTCAAACTAACTAATAATAACTAAACTATGAATGATCTCCAGACAATGCTTGACATCTATATAATAATTTGATGAAAACTTGACCGTGTTTACGCTAGGACATCGGCGCTAAAATTGCAACCTGCGCATACTATGAGGGATATTAGAAGCAATCCTGTGGAAACTTTGTAGGAAACAATTTGAGCGGCAGATCGTATTGGTACCCAAAAAAATACTCGGGGTTAACTGTCCAGCCTGCCAAAGTAATTCCATACACTCCAAGTGATATTTCTAGTTACATATGTGTAACTAGGAATATCCCAAACTATCCTCTAGTCAGAATTACCTGAATTAAAATATTTCATCACCGCAATGTGATATGATCTATTGATTAACTTTATACAGTAACCACTTTGGTAAAAAACAAGACGAAATTGTGTAAGTGTAACAAGTAAAAGTGTTCAATCTTGATTGAACACTTTTATGACCTTCGTAGAAATTCATTGTTCAATCTTGCAAACATCTTAGTATATTCTCCTCAATCATTAAAATTCTTTGGCATTTTGGAATCCAAAAATTATTCAAGATCAAGAGCAATACTTGTGTTACGCGAGGAGCAATTAGGGGAGCTGATCTACGGGTGACTGGTGACAGCGGAGAACAAACACAGGATGTATGAACGTGGTGGACTCTCTATCAAGAAGAAATTTGGGACGGGGGTATAATGGAGTCGAGTCGATAAATGAGTATACAACTCACTATCCAAAAACTCAACAGTTGAAGATGAGAATTGTGCCTAGAAGCATATGTAAGTATTGACTACGGCGTAAATCGTCGAACATTGACGATGAAACACTCTGGTTGATCACGTTGAAGTGATACAGTAAAATTTCCAATAGCGAATACCTTTGGGATCACACAGCAGGTACTCAGTATCAGAGGTTATTACCTAGCATAGGTAATGCTTTAAACATATCTAACCACATATATACACCCTAAGCTACATATACCCGAGATCGCTATCGAAGAATTTTCATTCGGTACTGAAGGTTATTCGCTACTGGAGTATTCGGTAGCGGAGGTTGTATTGAAAATTGAACAGAAACGAAGTCTCTTCAATACCCTTCGAACGTTTTAGTCGATTGGATGTAAAGCTAGTACTTATTTACTGCTGGAGCTCATCAAGAAGCGTCGTCCCATAGGAGCAGGGACAATACTGAAAAATACGGCGATAGACACGTAAAGAATCCTAACTGAAGACAAGAATTGACCGTCATTCGACGTTGTTTGTCTGATTGAGAATTTAATTTGGCCGGAGAAGAACAAGGGCGGGAGAGGTAAACTTAAACCAACGACGTAATCTTGACATGTGACGATGTGAAAATCTATGTGACTACGGTGTATTGGTAGAGAAGTCTGCACAGAAGTGAGGAAGGGTAAGAGTAATAAAACAGGAGTATGGTCGCAGAACAAAGAAAATATACAAACGAGGAGAAAAAGTGTTGATGGAAAGACCGTGGCAATCGAAGTTAACGACAGACGGACAACAATAAATGATGACGTATAATACCTTATCGTACTATTCTACTCTGACAGAGTGAATCGTGTCTCTGAGTCTTCCAGTGTAAATCGGACTCAAACTTGAGTGAAACAGATTGGCAGGATGTGCAAAGTGGTGATATAGATGTGCCCCAAGAATCAAGTAACAGAAGTGCTAGCTGAGAACATTTCAGTTTAGTGACAAAAAAAAGAGATGACAGCGATGTGGTAATTCACAGAAAGTAACCGTTGACAGTAACATAGAATTCTTCCATTCCAGAAAAATGTGGGTGTGCAAAAGACCACCACAACAGCATTTCAACCAAAATTTGGAGCAAGGTTGCGAAACGATAAGTAAAGCAGTCGAGATATGACAGCTCCCTGCAGCTTACGGTAGAGGATAAGAAGAGATTAGCTCAATCGAGACGTGAGACCACTTCCTGAAGAGCAGGCGTTAAAAACTTCAAAACTCATTTGATGGACAACTCATTTGGCTTGCAAACGCAAGGTACAAGTCCTGCAAGCGGTTACAAGCATAACTATTCTGACCTACAGCTCCTGAAGTTCTATGAATCTAATTAATTTTCGGTTTGATACGCCTGGGTCTAAATAACAACCACAATACAACGATAACAGTGAGAAAAGCTAGACCAGTCAGCACGTCTACTCTCGTCTCCAGTTTGCGCTGCCGGGTGCAGTAAACAGGGTGAAGTGCATTGATGGTTTCGTTCACCGCTGACATAAAGCTGCAATAAGACCATCAGGGATTATTAGAACTCACTCTTCTCAGTACATATACGAACATTCTTTTAGTAGGACATAAAAGTTGTGCCTATATGGGGAGGTTATGTTTGTTTACCTTAGAGACGACATCTCTAAGTGATTCAAAAGCTTCAAGGATTCTGCATAATGCAAGTCTTCCGTGAAGCCTGCTATCTGGAAGTGTCACAAAAACATCACGTCCATACATCAGAACAACCAGTCAGGTAAAAACCGCAAGTGACTATTTCTATCTTCACTTCAAAGACGTCTTCGTCGACTAGACCCATAATTTTGAGTTAGTCGAAAGTCGAGAACCTACAGACAAACTTGAAAATTTCTCAAATATGACAATCGTAAGAATGAGAAATCTAGCTCAGAAGCGAGCCACAAAATACTACTGGTTTCCGTGGGATGAGAACCCCAGTCAGGAATAGGACTTGAATAACGAAAGACTAGCTTTGATAAGACATTGTGAGACTAATTAGAACTTACTCGCTTCCATAGATTTACTACAGCGTTGTAGCTGTATCGAAGTTTCTGTTCGTGCGCTCTGAATGCAGGAAAAGTCAATTTTTCTGATGAACTCGGCTAAGGAAAGCCAATCAGATGCCTTGGACTGTGCCTAAACGGGCAAAACTGATCACTAGGAATCACATCAGTATGTAAAAGAAAAACTCAACAAAGTTGATCTGTAAACAGCGCGTAATGATTGGCTTCGTCAACTATCGAGGGTGTACTGCCGAAAAAAAACTACTCTCAATCAGCGGATGGAAGCAGATGAAACACATTACTACCAACAACTGCAAAATATAAACATAGCTCTGAATATAGGATACGAGTTCTTTCATTGGCCAAAATTTCCACCGCAGAATTCACGACGCGGACTGACTCGTCGAAGGCTGTCACGATATAGCTGCGAGCCATGGCATCATTGTGAAATCCTGCAACATTCCACCCTGCGGAGGTGCTTGAGAACGGGTGGGCACCAACCGACCATGTCCAATCCTGCAAATCCGTCGAAAACGATAAGACATTCAGAATGCCAGTGTTCATATTCATATGCAACTGAGAAGATATCTGCTCTAGCACTAAGATGTAAAACTTCCCTTCGATACGCCGGATCCAGGTGATGTTCGGGTACACACTGCTATATGTCTCTAGGATGTCTGAATCGAAGTAACGATATCTCAAGTTTGCGGCTACTGATACCCGTACGGAAACTTTACCACTAGTAAAAGACACGTTCAAAAGACCAAATATTCAGCAGCTTACATGCATAGCGTTTTCATGAGCTTGGCTGTACGTGACTTCAGAGGGAATGATACCAGCCATGTGCTCGGCTACAGCTGCTATGGCAGCTTTTGATGGTTGTCTGCTCAAACGATACAGAGAGAACAGGTTCAAGAAACTGACTGAAAGAAGCATACGCTGACAAATATGACCAAAGCACCAAAGTCAACAAGAATCATTCTAAAACAAACTGAGAATCCTGAGAGCAGGCATTGACAATATGGCAACAAGAAACAGAAACATATTCCACTTCGATACACCAGAATTTACTTACGTCAGATCCCAGTATACAGATTCTCCATTACATTGAAGATGGCTCTCCCATGAATTCTTCGTGGATTGTACTACAATGACCATATCTGGTAAGGCCTTCGCCTGATAATGCTTATCTATCAACAGAGGCTCCTTGCCAGAGCGCAAGAACCAAAAAATTGGTACCTCTATACTGTTCCGTCCAGTAGGTTTCTTATCTGCATCAAAACGTGATAGTCTCAATCAGCACTATGTATGATTGATCACTTCTAGGAGACCACTACTTAGGCATGAAACCATTGATCTTCGACGACGTACAAAGGAACGCTTCGGCCATAACTTGCGAGCTACATACATGTGCATACTACATTCACAAGACTTCGGTTATCTTGCAAATTGTGTCACTTCAAATGAAGATCACTGATGTGTAAATACTTGACCTGCGAGAGAAACTAGTTGCTTGATATGGTGCTGAAGAATGGCAGAGTCCAAGTAAACACGCTGAGATGCCCTATACGTTCCATTAACAGACAGCATAGGCACAACAGCTGCACGTTTGGCAGCAGCAAAGGCCATCGCCAGTGCTGGATCTTCGGATAGTGCCAGTCTACACAAAAACAAGCAAACCGTGACAAGGGAAACATTTTAGCGAGAAAACAAACAGGGTTCAAGTAGACGAAGCTCAACAAAGGCTAAAACCACCGCCCTAGGCAAGTGAAACAAAAGGGTGAGGGAATGAAAAAGGAAAAGCAACTTAGCCTTATTAAAATCAATTCACATGAAATTCAATTCAAAATGGGAAGGGCATTCGGAGGTTAGTAGCGCTGTAATTACAAAAGCAAGGTACTCCACAGTCCTGAAGTCAATAATATCTAAGGCGTACGTACTTCTGGACTCCGAAAACGGCCGTCTGAGCAGGCACTACAAGACGTGACAAAGCCGCCTTAACAGCAATGATGTCCACTGGAATGAGTGAATCATGTTTGTACTTCTGCATGTTTGCAACAGCAACGTTGTATCATTATATATTTTAGTACATGATCAACCGCAGGACCTTGGCATGCATGGAAACACAAAGATGTGAGTACAGTTTATTGAAGTATGTCTTCTACCTCTTCATTCACTTCTGAAACTTGTAATGGTTACTCTGGTAAGCAGGTAAGGCTCACAGGACCGCTACTCATCGGAAACGCAATAAGAAATAAGTCTTGAAGCCAATTTTGTATGAAAGACAAGACTTGCATACCGCCTCAGAGATGAAATATATCTGAAAGTAGACATTTTCATAGAAGTGATATGCTCCATCTGCAGTTGAAGGTGTCACCACGTGACGCATTGACGAGGCCAAGACTGAACCCAAAGAGGCCAGAAAGGAGTCACGCGCCGTAGAGAAGTTTTGCGTATGCTGCATTGCAGTCCAACTTGTATTGGTCAGGGAGAAAATCCATAGATCCTGAAGAGCAGAAAACCCAACGTACTCCTGTTCACAAAAGGCTATGCGCCTATCTTCAAACCTGTCTGACTTTCTAGTTAAAATGATGTCAATCACGATTCTTCACCAGCCAAAAGACTCGTAACAGCGGTCGAGCTGACACAAGAGCCTTCGTCAATAAAAAACAGCTCACTACTGACATCTTGGTTGCGAAAGACCATCGACAATGTTAAGAAAAATGCTCCTGGATAAACACTAACCAACAGTAGAAAGGCCTCAAGAATGATCGTGCAGCAAGTAAAGTGAATGTAAATATACACCAAACGTACTTGATTCACAAAGCCAAATATGTTCCACTCGTCAATGCGCCTCAATGCATCAGCAGCTTTAATCTTGTGCCCCATAATTTCTTCTTTCTCCGCGTCTGTCTGCTCGTCCAGCTCAGCTTGAGTTGAGATTGTTCCCAGCTCATCTTTCACATCGCTGATCCTCTCCAGCAACTCTGAAGAGAAGCCAGACAAGGTAATTATTACAAAAATTGTAGTAGATTTATGATAAGGATGGCCGATTTCGGTCGAAGTAATTGGCGATAGTCTCGTTACCCTTCTGTCGGAATGAGTTTTATGACTTCCTTGTTCTCTTTAGACATTCATTTGTTCCTAAGTAGATAACGAAGATGATCCTGATTAAGTGTACATACCTTCACAGAACGTAAGAGCAACTTTTCGACCTCGGCAATGTCTGTCGGCAAAGACCTCATAGACATCAATTTCTGCCAGTAGCATGTCTACGGCATGTTGTTCGTCCTGCATGCAGACACTTTAGGTCATTGGTATCCTATCCAAATCAGCATTTCATCTGTAAGATGAAAAGGCACCATTCAACTTAAGTATCTGAGATACCTCTTTATTGAGAGATAACGAAAACACCGAAGTATACCTCTCCCATATATGTAAATCGATCCCGCCATAGCTCTTGAAATTCCTCTTGAACAGTTTCATCCTCTGCATTTAAAGCAAATTACTTTCAATTCTCTAAATACAAATGGGTCTCACAGGCCCCTGTCATGTAACTGTTTGAACAATTCAATCAATCTCTGTACTGGTGATTAGAGAAGGGTAACATATGCGCGTATGACGTCAGAAATTAGAATGCAAAACAGTGGCGAAATAAATAATCATGCACAGATAGAAGTACCAAGTATCACACCGGAGCCCAGAACGATATATCAGAGGATGTGCACTGCGTACAGGCACATACCTTTACCTCTTTGTGTAAATTGTCAATGATATAGAACATGTCGTAAAAGGAAACAGAAGATTACCGCCAGTTGTGGAAAGAGGAAGGTGACCAAAGCTTATATCGACGGAGGGAAGGGTCATCTCGGTGCGAACCCCATCTCCACCAACAGCGGGACCCCATGTAACGGGACCAGCACTCAAATCAACAAAAGCCCACCTAAAAGGGGAGGGCAATAACATAAACGTGGAACGTAAGTACCTCAATGTCGATTAGCCAAGATCTGTGAATATAACAACCTTGTTGTATTCACAGGTATAAATTACTCTGAGCGAATTTATCACACGAGGAAAGACAAGAGAAAAAAAGTTTACAGAAGATGTGGAACTTCTTGCTTCGTAGCAAGAAGAAATTCAGCGTGGTTACCAATTTACTTAGAACAGTTCTGTATCATCATGCAAACGGTTTCCTGTCGACATTTCAAGGGAATATACACGTGCACATAAATCAACTCACCTATCCTGTCCCACCCACGTATCAACAAGACACTCCGGCCTCAATCCTGATTCTCCATCGGGTTTTAAACCTCTGCGTAAACTCGCTGCAAGCTGCATGTCTTTACCATTCAAAATCTGCAGCAATGGTCCACGTCGTATCGACAGTGAGAAATTAAAAGAGAACGACAGGGGCAAGTTCAGACAGCAGGTTATATACAGGTTAGTTTACTACTTTCATAAACTCCTCTCATTTCTTACTGTCCACGGTACACCTTGAACCCGTAGTCGTCGAGCAATATTTTCCGGATTCTAGATCTAGGTAAAGGAGTGGAGGTCACCTTCCGGATGAGAGAGATTCCCCTTCATATTAAGAAGAACACGTTGGAAAACTACCTCGGTACGTGCACACTGTTTGGTAAATGAGACGTGACTACGGGCCACTATGTGGTAAATGCGTCACCTCTGACACATTGGGAACAAGTTTAAACAATCTCGCTCAGCTTGTGGAACCTGGAGGATCTTCGGAGTATGTAACTCTTGATTCAAGCCCAGAGCTGCTGCTCTCTTGGGGTTTACAAACCTCCAGGTTCAGATGACTAGTCCGAAATTTCTCAGGCGTTCGCATGAAACCTCACTCACGGGAGAGAGACCCTCTTCATACACGAATCGTCCTCTCTACCCGTCCATTATCCCAGTACTACTACCAGCAATGACGTCGTGCATGTACTTGGCCATGTAAAAGTGACTTAAAATACCTGCTCGGCCTTCGCCAGGGCAATATCTTCACCGCTTTTCCCTTGCAAAGCATGTTCCATGGTGTCCAACGCAGTATGGACGGTATCAGCCCAAGTCGCCTGTAATCATCTGTACTGTTATTAGATGCGATCAATAGCGGAATGAGTGGGCACACAGCTTCATCGTATGCGACCGCTACATTCCAGCATTGACCAAGCAGCAAAAGAAATTACCTACAATCATGCAATAGGTAGTCCTGCGACTAAGATCACTGAAACGTTTCTCTCGAACAATTGCTTCTGACCAAAAACCAAGATCTGAAACATGATATCATGATATTCAATCGGTGTGTCTAACATGAGATATATTCACTACATATGGTCATCTTGTCCGCCTGGATCTTCAACAAAAATGAGCAAGACGCGGTCAGTTGCTCATTTTAGTTGGGATCTCTACGATACCTCTAAATGCGGACTGATTACGTGAATAACATTGAGACCGATACTAAATAACAGGAGCAACTTCGGAAACTTTGGAGGCTAGGGGCTTGCGCACCGTGTGGTCATTATCAGCCGAGGTCCACGAAAATCGCAGCAAAGGATGTCGATCATACAAAGGATGCTTGAACTTTTCTACATCTGCATCACAGATCGACAAGTCAAGAAACAAACAAAAGATCGACGTCCGAAACATTTTTTCGAATGCACGAAAAGTCAACTTTAAACAGAGAGACTACCTAAAGCAGTGAAATGTATAAGTTGAAGTTAAAACATAAATAGGAAAAAAGTTAAAAACAAACCTAGAATGTCCTGACTTTTCACCTTCGCTGAAAGTAGAGGCTTTGTTTTGGCCACGTTCTTCAGAACAGGACAATTGTAGCAGCATATTAGATGTTGTAATACCTTTGTTCACGAGCCTAAGGATTTGAAACTTACTTATGTTTCTCCACACTGGTCAGAATCAAGAAACAAGAACAGAACCCAGCATCCAACTATACCCCGTTCCAACCGTAGAACCAACTCAATCGAAGCCTAGAATGGAAACCAAGACCAGACAAACTTCGGAATATATTTGAAAAGCCTTTGTAAGGGCAGACGGAGATGGCCAGAGCCATCTCCACATAAGACAAATGATTCTTACAGCTTTCAAAAAATCCATTTCAGCTGCAGATAATCCGTGCCTGAAGAACGACAAGTAATCATGGTGATCAGCAGGCCATTTAATAATGCAGACCAATCAAGATAGTCTTTCGGTCGAAAATGACTAGTTTCAACCATGAAAACATGTCTAACACGTGTGCAATACCTGTTCTGGTGCCTAGATCATATGAAACTTAAATTCTCAACTTCACCCTTCGATTCCACATTACCCCAAGCCCTGTCATAACCCAAATCTCGTAAAACAAACAAAAAGCCTTAATTCCTCACCTATATGCGTATGTTCCACGCTCTGCGTCACGTTTGGGGTTCAGAATGAAGATATTGTAAGCGTTCTCTAATTGAAGGTACTCCACAAGATTTGAGAAGAGATAAGTCATCCCGCCCATGTCGACCTGCCAAAGAGCTTCTTTATCCGGACTGCGTGTCAAGCAACTCGACAAGTTTAATAAGCTGGTTGGAAAGCTCCAAATATTTCTTGTTTCAACTTATCCGATTTCACAATATTTTGTAAGCTTTAGTTCTGTCACATGTTCTCGACTCTCACAGTCAATCCAATAACAAGGAATATAGTACAAGGAGGGTAAGGGAGGAGCAAAGGAAGATAGGTGTGTCAGTATTCACAAACTCATGAAATAACGTGGTTTCTATAGTTACCTTGTATCGGAATAGTTGTCACGTCGACCAAAAATCTTTATTGCACGCTCAAAGACAGCTGTTACTTTCGCATCGAGCTCAATACCATGCACTGAGTAGCTGCAGAAGATGGCATGCTCAATATGAGGACAAAAGACAGTACCGCTCGAAATTCATAAATTGAGACGTGACAGCGAGCACGAACAGCAAGAGAAGCACACACCATGATGAATGACTCACTTGTAATGGGCGTAACTTATAAGTGGGAGATGATGTTCTTTATTCACAGTTCCTTTCAGCCTGTAGAAGGGAGTGAGTGCTTCTCCAAGTTGTGGGATGCGTGTATGTTCCAAAATGTGGTCAATGTTGGTAAACCACCGTTCCATCTCATCTTCTCCCAAAATGACCCCTTCAAAACCAAAACATTGACCAATGAATACCGAATAAAGCAAGCCTCTTTGAGCTTGGTAAGTAAGTATACACAGCACACATAATGTATCGCTGATTGTGCGTAGGACTTTTGCTGAAGGAGGTCACAAGGTCCCCCTGAGTCAGATGTACAAACATTTGCATCATAATCAAAAGGAGTGGCACGTTACGATCCCAGTCTATTATGGCAATGACAAAAACAACAACCAGATACAAAGACGACGATATACTTCTGTTTCCAAGACATGAATCTCAGCACTCTCGTGAACTAGTGTAAGGTCCAAAGGACAAAAAAAGGATTGAAAGTGGAACAGTTTACCAAATTCGCAGCAAAAAGCAAAAGCAAATTGCGGTTGAATGGTTCTGGAAAGAAGATTGGCTGCCCTTGCTTTCGGCATTTCAAGCTCAGCTCTTTTGGGATTATAAATCACTTCATCTTACAACTCATTTTATAAAAGGTCCGATGTTTTACTCAATTAGGGTCCCATTTTCCCGTGAACGCCCATCTAAGCTACAGGACTGACAGAGGCTGGACTACCTTGATTGCCTTCACCACCGAATCCGATAAAGATAAAATTGATAGGAAGGGGAAGGTGTATGGCATCGACAACCGATAATTTCAAGTAATGTGAAATCGTGCCTGCAACAAGCATAGATACAACCTGCACTCATTAGAATCTGCTTGTGAAAAGACACCATTTCAGCTCATTCTAATTGGCCCTGTCCACGTAATGATGTCTGGAGTTGCACGGTAATCTTCGAATCATTACGTAATAAAAACAAGCTTACAGAAGAAAAACAAACGACAACAACTTCCCGAAAAGCCAACACAGTAGAGTTACACGATTAGATCACTTGGTGATCAGAAAGTTACTAACACCAAAGATAGACCAGGAAGCGTTTTAGACTTTCTGGCCCGTTCTGAGTTTGACAAAGCTTCCAAGCAGATCAAACTACGAGTTTATAACAAACGGGACATATTTCGGCCAGCAATTATTAAGTTACACAGTACCTGCCTTTGTGTAATTCATCATAGCGGCTTTGCCCGCAGGACTTGACTCTGACAAAGTCAAGTCCTCGTACCCTGTCACATAGACAAACACATAAAAAAATTATTCGGTCATTGTCCTCACGGTGTCAGGAGATCGTAGAAGAAAGCAGTTCTTTAAACAGCAGGGCACTCCCGCTATGTTTTCATAGATCACAGTCATTTCTTTGAATGTTTCAGAAATCCAGGAGGCCGTAATACGTTGCATTAAGTTAACACTCAACTCATTCCAGCTTGTAGTCAACAAGCAAATGATCCAAATGTGGTTAACTTACCACGTCCCATTACTTTCTCATTCCAAAACTTGCTCCCCATACCCAGTTTGAATAAGGAAAGGACAGACTTTTTCTTCTCTGCCTTCACCAGCGAAGGATGAACCCGGCCATCTCGAGGGATGGTTTGTGCTGACGATGTCAAGGCCTGCACCACAAGAAACTACATACTGCTTAGTAGAACCAACCAAAAAAAATACTGAAAAAGGCTATTAGGTCAGATCTTCTACTCCTTAACCCTAACCTGCTCTTACTGAGGAATATCAACTTCAGTAATGGAGGTCAGAAGATTCAGCAAACAAAAACTTGACTTTTCACAAGTAAATGATTCTGGGTATACACGCACAAAACGAACACTATTTGGAAAAACGGCATGACAGAGAAGACAAGATGAGCTCTAGCGGAGAGCATTGACCATCTAATTGCCTCTAATCTTCTACGTGGTCTTACTAAGGTTCTGACAACTAAAAACACCTGAGAGAACCTTCAGACCACAGACGGAATAGAAAGCTCTCGAACTTTGGATGATAACGTCTGTGCCTCAATTCGCAGAAAGAGGGGAGTACAGGTGCGCGAGCATTACGGTACTCCAGATAATAAATGGGATCGCAAACAGACTAAACTATTGAGCGAAGGTTTTGTACATAAACCAGAATAATCAAAACGTTGAACCGGAAAGACTACAATTCGCAATCCAAAAGGTTACACGAGATCAACTGGAACTTCGATTCAGCTGGTGAAAAGTCCCTCATTAATAGCAACAGATTGACAAAAAAGGGTTCTGGAAGAAATCCTACATGTCTCAGACACTAGACGCTGAGTGAATGAAACAAAAATAAATCCTTATTATCAATGAAGCCATCGAAATTTTTCAACAAATCATCACAATCACAGTAAATCAGATTGTCACAGATTGCACAGATTGCCAAAATCCAGCAAAAAGAATAGAATGGGAAAAGAGAAGTGACAGTCACAATTGATACGAAACACCGTACCGTGGAGATAAGAAGCAAAACCACGACGAGCAAAGGGAAAAATCGCCTCATGGTTCTTCCTCCTCCTCCACTCGGGCGCAAATATGAGACTTCCATCATTCCGTCGAAGTTCGAGGGTGATCACGCATAGTTGTATTCCTCTCTATCCGCGTCCTTCCACACCACGTCGCAATTCTAATTCCTCATTGCTGATCCTGTAATCTATCAGAGAGCGACCTGCAACCGATCTCACAAGAACGCAACGAAGCGAGAGATTGCGAGAACGAGCGCACGGATGGAGCTCGGACGGCAGTGGCAGCAGCAGCAGAGGAGCTCGGAGCTGCTGCAGCTTTCGAACGTCGGATGGATTGATTTGCTCTATTGACCTCGCAGGCGCGGGGAGCGGGGAGCGCGTGGCGCGGGGCACGGGAGCTTTACAAGTCTTCACAAGCCTGTCTCTGTCTCTGTGCTGCAGGTATCGGCTGCCTTCCATCTATGAACTTATCCCGGGTGTCACCGGCCGGCCATGGAGGGTGACCGGGTGAGTCGTCGACCTTGTGACCGGCGCTGCACTTCAGCTTCTGCGTCGCGCGTCTCGGACTTATAACGTCTCTCCCGTAGTACGCGACGCCATTTCAGTGGCGCGAAGCTCACAGCTGATCTCAGTGTGGCGACCAATGAAGCGCAGCTTGCCGACGCGGTCGACTGATCACTGCCGACGAGAGTTCTTGTAACCTGCTGCCTCCGCCATTCTCTCGCCAGTCTGCAGTTCATCTCGGAAATATCGAGCAGTATCGAGTAATATGCACCCAAATCTTATTCGAAATTATCGACTGGAAATTCTCGATGTTCGGATTTTCCAGCGAGGAATTTGATTTTGGAGATTTCTCCTTAAAAAATAACAGATGGGACGAGCGTTATGAATATGGAGTTCGAAGACTGGACTGTGGTTTATGGATGCAGCTCTATTTCTGGCTAGATGACATCGTCGTTATTTTGCACTTAATCCATCATGATCTAGATAATATTGGTTACGAGGCTATAATGATTCATAGTGTTTGAAGATTTTACTTCGCAAAGAATATGACATTTATAATCGGAAATTATAATTATAATTATATAATAATGACTTCTATAATCAGAGATTGTCAACTTTTTTGCATTTTTAATCATCATGTAATTAAATTCAAATGTTGGCACCCGATGTCTCCAACAACCTTCCTTGACTAAAACCTGTTGTGAAACCTGACTTCTATAGAATCATTCGTATCGTGTTCTAAAACCCAGAAACTATTTCTGTATTTATTACTTGAAATTTATTTTTTTCCATTAGAATTTTTTTGGAGAAATAAAATACCCAGGTTACGCAGTACGAAAATTGAGAAAGACGAGAAAATCCGTGAAGTAAATTATGAACCATAACCTTTTCTATCGTCTATCATAAAAACTCAGGTTCATATCCGAAGTACTCTCAATTTTGAAATATTGGATAAAAATATTTGCGGTCAATAACAACGACTGGAAACTAGCTTGATGACATATGTAGATGTATCGGTTTACAATCTTCAGGGTTGCTATTTTAATAGCAATCTCGTTAGGTTATTTTACAATCAATCTTGGGTAACATGTATCCATTGATCTACCAAAAAAGCCGCCGTAATCCATCCGAGATAAAAAAATAAAAATGCGTCAGATTATATAATATGTGGTGAAAAGGGTAGCAATCTCTCTTCACGTTATTGTACAACTAATCTTAGATTAAAAAACTTATCCGGTGCAAATCCATGAAGTCAACAGCGATAGTCGACGATTTTCTGGATGTTCATTCAGAAGTTTAGGTCTAATCTAAATAGCTGAATTCTACTAAGTGGGAGTAGGACAAAATTCCGCACTGTGATGCTCATAGGGGCTAGCCCATCTTATTCCTCTAACTTTATCCACGTATTTCTTAGCTGGTCCTTAACATGTTTTTTGCTATACTACTCCGGCTAACATTGGCATGCCCTCTAAAGTTGTAAACCTGCTAAACCTTCGCCTGTAGAGAGCGGGCCTTAATACAAGCTTCTTTCAATACCGTTAGAAGAAGAATGGAACACGGTGCTCTAATGAAGAGGAGGGTATGATAACTACCCTCCTCTTCAGAGTTAAATCTCCCAATAGAGTCACTTTTTATAAGTGACATGAAATTGAAGAACCATTAGAGTTAAACCTCCCAATGGTGTCATTTTTTATAAGTGACTTGAAGAATCATTAGAGTTAAACCTCCCAATGGTGTCATTTCTTATAAATGACTTGAAGAATCATTAGATTGTAAACAGTAAGTTTTGTATGTAGTAAATAACAGTACGTCACTAATGACAATAATTCTATTCAATATTACCAATTCCAATGATAATAGTGACATGATTCTATCCAATACTGACAGTTTCAAATGTAATTTTGGAGATAAAATTATTATCATATCAAATACAGAACCTTTAGAAAATGCTATGTGGCAAATGTTTATTTAAATGTCTATATCAACAGTTCACTTTTTCACAGAATCCGATAAAATACTTTGATATAAATAGTATCATTGATTGTTTCACTCAAATTTTCTTTTAGGTTTCTTTTATGCAGTCCGGAAAAAAAGTGAGCCTCTAAATTGGCGGCCACTTACTAGAGGAAGAGCGACTGCTTGGCAAGGTCAAAATTAGGGGTCGCGTACCGAACCCAGAGTCAACTGGCGCTTGGGCCACTAACTCCGGCTTCGGACGACGAATATGATGCCGGTCCGGAGCGGAAGCCTGCGAGCAAGAGAGTTCACAGGACCGACCACTGTACGTTCTGGGAGACAGTGCGAGGCTCCGAGGCCCGAGCTGAAGCATCGCTTCGGCCCCGGGAGTCAAAAAGGTTCTGTCAGCTGATGAATGCGTCGGAAGTTTCTGTACATGCTTGCGACTTGATCAAACCCTAGACCCTGCACGATTCACTCGCGCAATCGTTGATTCGTGCAGGGGTTAGTTCTCCGGTGCTCGCCAGTAGGTCGATGCTGGTGGTGCAGAATGGTTGAATGAGGGTCCCATCGCGTCGTTTGCAACCTGTGATTGTATTCCTGCGCTCGGTGTTTGGATCTCGGACGGAAGTGGCTCGTGCGAGGTTGGCAGCCGGTGGTTTGGAGGAGAGCCCTCAGAGTTTGGCCGGTGTGAAAGGGGTGCCGGTTTTGGCAAGCGCGGGAGGATTTACGTATCGTGATGATTGGAGGTTTATGAGCTTTTCATCGAACTTCTCCACGATGCAGGTCGCTATGCCTCCTGCTGAGGGCCTTCCCGAGGAGAGATTGCAACGAAATGGGGCAATGGTTGATGCTGCTGATGTTATTGACAATAGGGTCGGAGAGAATGGTGCAGATGCCGGCGGTGCCGCTCTTATGGTTCTGGAAGGAGAGGAATTTGATGGAGCTGTCCCTGTCCCTGCAAATGCAGAGTTTCACGAGAATTTTCATGTTAGAGCGAATGTTGGCATAGACCCTCCAGCGGAACTTGCCGAGATGGTGATGGTTGATGGAAATTTGGATGAATCTGCTCCAACAACTCCGGACAATGCTGCAGAGCGAGTAGACTTGAATGGCTCCTGTAGTAGAAATTTTGAGCTGAAATTTTCTGGAGGTTGTGGGAGTGCTGCGAAGCGGATGCGAATGGAATCACCAACACGTGCGGAATTGGAAGATGTCAAAGAAAAGCATATTGCAGCAGCATGGGAGCACTGGAGAAGACTTGGGTCACCGAAGCTTCATGTAGCACCTATGGTGGATCAGTCAGAGCTTCCCTTTCGTATGCTTTGCAGGAAATATGGAGCTACTGCTGCTTACACTCCCATGCTTCATTCACGTTTGTATGTTCAGGATCTTAAGTACCGAAAGGAATTCACTACGTGTCCTGTAAGTTCTATACATAACTCCAGTCACACCGACACATTCGTTTTCCATCTGAGCACAGTGTAATGAACACTACCGAATGGTTTTTATGTTTTTTGGGCGTTCGTATGTTTCTCTTCCACTGTCCGGCTCTTGCCATGTCGAAGTTCCAGTGCTTTTTAAGTCCATCGGAGCGAAACCGTGTATGAATTGGAAGCATTATTTACTGGGGGCGTCTAGAAACCATGAAAAGAGATACAGTAGACTGCCATTTTTTCCTGATACGGAAAATTGTCATGGATCACAGTCTTTAAGTGTTGTTTGATGGAGCTTCTCAATTGGTGTAGGATGTTTTCTTCCCCACGTCAAAGTGCTAGATGCAAGTTTTCTGGATCCAGTGCTTTGAGCCACAGGCGTCTGTTTCTTTATGCACTTTGCAGAATAGCTTCATAAAGTGATATCTCTTCTTTGTACTATTCATGAATTTCTGTACGGATGGATGAATGCACTGGGTCCCCTATACTGCACCACTGTTAATTTGACAGCCGGTCTCTTTCATGTATTTCACCGTTTTGCTGCTTCTAGGCTTTTCTTAGTGACGCATCAGTTCCTCTTTCGTTATCTTACAGCTGCAGTTCATTCATGACACTTCCTACGTTTACTATCAGCGTCTTCTCGTTACTTTTATCTAGTGTATATAGTCGGCACCTAGGAGATGTAAGACCTAGGTTTTTGTTGCCTCGTTCTCTTGCACGTCAAGCCTTTGTGGCTGATCATGTACTGTCCTATGTGTTATTTATGATACAATGTATGTAATGGTGACAGGAGGACCGACCATTGTTCGTACAATTTTGTGCAAATAATCCTGCGACGCTTTTGGATGCGGGGCGGTTGGTGGAGTCTCAGTGTGATTATGTGGACATCAACTTGGGGTGATAAACTGTTTCCTTAATTCAAGAGTGGTCACTATATTTACTATTCTCATCATCATTCTCTTTGGTTACAATTATTCGGTCTTACGAAGCTTGGATTATAAGGTTCTATGCCTCACAATTTGATTGAAAATGGAGGTTCTAAGAATATCTATGCTATGCAGGTGCCCACAACGAATTGCAAAGAGAGGAAATTATGGTGCTTTTTTGATGGACCAGCTTCCCCTCGTTCAATCTCTTGTTAGCAATCTGTCATCGAATTTGACAACCCCCGTCTCCTGCAAGATCCGTCTCTTTCCCGACATCAAGGATACTTTGGCATACGCCCACATGCTGGAAGATGCAGGCTGCTCATTGCTTGCGGTGCACGGGCGAACCAGAGACCAGAAGAACGGGAAGCTTGTGCGTGCAGACTGGGAAGCCATAAAGACCGTCAGGGAAGCCCTGAGAATCCCAGTCTTGGCAAATGGAAATATAAGATGGCTCGAAGATGTGGATACGTGTATCGCCGCCACAGGAGTAGAAGGAGTCATGTCAGCGGAGTCATTACTGGAGAATCCGGCTTTGTTTGCAGGCTATCGAACCTCATCAACCGAACTAAACGTGGGAACTGCGCCGTCTTCTGAAGTTGACGAGGATGCAGAAGATTCAAGGGCCCAGACTTCCTTCAAGACCATTGATGAGAGACTGTTGTGTTTGGAATATCTAGATCTCTGCGAGCAGTATCCGGTTCCCATGCGCATGGTCCGAGGCCATGTGCATAAAATGTTAGGCAACTTTTGGTTCAAACAACATCCTGATCTCAGAGAAGAACTCAATAGACAGTACAAGCTCAACTTAGATTGGCTCAAAGACATGGTGCAGAGGATGTTAGCACGTCCTACGCCAGGAGCTGTTTCTGCAGTAGAAGTGGTTCCTGCCAGTGCACCTGTTGTGGAGTCTCAGGAGATTGAGAATGCGGCTTCGACTGCAGTACACAACTTGGAGCCTTTGGCGGTCGACAATGTTGCTGGAGGAACTGCCGGAGTCTCTGAAATTTCCCCAGTAGATGTGAATACACTGGAGACCGTGAGTGTACAGTAGGAGCAGTACATTTTTGGCGAGGTCGGTATATCCGGTGCTGACCTTGAATGAAGGAAATTTAGTTTAGTCTTACCTTTCTAGTAAATTGGCCCGAGTTGTGAACTCCCTTTGACCGGTGATGATGCATTCTTTTGAGCGGGAAAGCCACCAATGTTAACTAGCAACAAAAGTGTATTTGTGTACTCCAGACACTTGTGGTTAACAAGTCCTTTGATTCATTAGGACTCTATCACATCCCTTCGAAGATGTCCAAGCTCTGCGATCAATGGATATCTTTGAGATTCCTTTTGGCTTTTCTAGGCCTCCATTTTAACTGTATTCTTTTGTCGAGCAGTGGTGTATGGCTCATGGATGTCAACTACAGTATAGCGAGTTACGTGTAAACCAAGATCCTCAGAGCAACACGAAAACTGCGCTTTTTTTGCCAGCTGGCAGCACATTCCACTTCATCGCATTCTTGAGCATGAGTTTTATTTGTAGCTTTCTCAACCTCGTATGTCGTATATACTCCATCGTTATGCAGAAAGGTATCAAGGAAAACTGTCCTTTAATCGGATGATGGCTGGACCAGTTTCGGATTCTTCAGATCTTACCTTCCCAGTCACCTGACTGCATGGAATTGTTGTAGTTTAGTAAGTGCATATAGTGAATCTTTGCCAAGTGACTGACTTAGATCGATGCAGTAAGTTGTTGCGGTTCAAAAGATGCCCCAGTACAATCCTCCATCAATACGATCATGGCCCAAACAATAGCCGCATAATTGCGAAGTTACAAATAGAGATCAGATTAGGCGACAGTCCTACTAAATTGTCGCTGCAGCAATAATTCGAACAGAAGATTATAATTACTGTAGCTTTCAAGAATGCTCTCTCCGAATATCATGTTGTTGTGATGGATGATGTGTACAAGGAATTCATGCCGTATGGCGTGTCGAAGCTTAAGATGGGAAATCATTAAGTCCTGTTACTTGGTGAGCTTGCGCTGTCACTTGAAATGAAGAGGATTGTGATGGCGATTCTGAGTAGGACGGATCCTGGCAACTCGTGGTGATAAGAGAATATTAAGATGATTCCTCACTTAACACAAGTGTTCTTGACACGCTTCGAGTAGGTTCCACAAATACTTGACCTGACAGTTGAGATGCAATATTCTGTTCGACTTACACTGTGAGAAGCAATTTGCCTTCTTGCTGGTATGAAAAGTAGTAGAATCCAATATTATTTCCTTTGAATTGTTAAGACTCCATTTCCTCCTAATGCTTCGCGACCTTCGTTCTGTCCAAGTAATTACCAATCGGTTTAAAATATATTAACCTAAAAATCAGTTGTGAGTGTTAAGAAGCAGCGGAAAGTCTCTACATACGTATGGAATAAAATTCTGTGGAAAAAAAATGTGCTTTAGAAAAACTACAAGATACATCAACGCGGCCACATCGTAAAACGCAAGAGCAAGTATCGATTCTATCGAGTGTCTATTTCAGTCATCATCAGCTGAGTCACACGAAGCATATAAAGAAGCCACGATTGAGAGTGTTGAAAGACATTGTGTTTTTTCCAGCTCGTCTATGATATGCTGCCATAACCTGTAGGAGTCGATTGCGCGAGCTCAGTTTCAATAAAAAAATCAATATTATAATTCATCGATCTTGGACTCAATAACGAATCCCAAATTTGTGTATGTCTCAAGTCTTTAGCTCATTGTTACCAGTCGACCCTTGAAATTTCCTTCGAACCAGTGGGCTAATTCTAGAGCAACACACGCATGACGTGCATAGAAATTGTTCGCATGTATGAGCAGATACCACTCCTGAATATCATTTTAGACACAGAAGATCTTCCAACAACGGTGTATGAGAGAGAGAAGTAGGGTTCAAGGTATAATAATACTTCTGCTGAAATATGATGAGTCCATATTCAAATAAACAACATCAGTGTAATAATTTTATAACATAAACCGAGTTTGATCTTGATCCTTCTCTCCATGTCTGAAAGCGAGAGTTTATTTTTCAGCTCTCAAAAGCCTCGCTATATATTCACGGACTGTTGCTGTCATGGGAGATACGACCTCAACCGTCTACAAACATATTGCGGTGGCTGGACTGTGCATAACTATCTCCATACGTCGCCAACCAAGTTCAAGACACAATAAGAGAGTCCTTGCAATGTGAAATAAGCTTCGTTTTTCTAAAACAGCAGATTAAATCAATGATTTGACCCTCTGAAAACAGGTAGTTAAACAGCAGTACGACATAGATTTGGAATCTTCCGATGAGGTCAGCGAGACAAGGACAAACTGGCACATCAAGAAGTGTTTTAGTCCTACCTCTACAAGTTGACTTCCACTTGATTTCGTCCGCTGTCCCATCCCATCGGAGAGTTTTTCAGTTCTCAGACAACTCAAGTGGCATATGAGGTCCTCAAGCAAGGGGCAATGTGATCAAGGACAGAGCCAAGGGAGAGCAATGTATTATGTAACAGCCGTCCAAGTGGTACTAGAAGACAGCACCTAGACGCTTAGCAATACTTCCTCTTGCAGTCGTAGGGTGCATTTGCATGAACTACAAATATAAGACACACGGAGTTCTGCGAAATCATTCATAGATATGTGAGTCGGCGGAGTATGCAAGGTCCTAGACGGTTGGCATGCAACGAGGGAATAGTTCTCATAAAAGGATGACCTCAAGCCGGGAATGAATCAAAAAGGACTCATTCATTGTTGTAATGAGACCTTCGTGATTTGGAAGCATCAATCAACAGCTCTCACTGAAGGAGGACCTCGAGCTCGGAATGAATCAGAAAGGATTCATTCATCGTTGTCGTGAGACCTTCGTGCCTTGGAAGCATCAATCAACACGAAAGTTTCATCAGTTCTATGGACTTCATCAGGTATGCCAACGAAAGATGACATTCAATTTTATCGTCTGATACATGAGTTATGGTGTCGAATAAGCTTCATCAAATATACCAGGTGTTGGATAAACAGGTGACTTTTACGAGTGACGTTTGATACATAAACTAATATATGTACAGAAATGACTCAGGACCTCTATTGAAATTAGTAAGGCCGATCAGAATCCAGAAGTTTGATATATGTGTGAACTCCACTCTATCTCGTAGAAGTTAGTTCAGTTGTAGTTCTTGCAAGAATTGGTAGATAATATGATACTCTTTAAGCACTAAGTCGCCTTTTGGGATTTGTTTATGTTCTGTGATCAATTACGCTTAGGTGCCTCTTCTGTTGTGACTGGAGCTGAAAATGAAAACTTATATTGCTTGAACTTAATCATGAACTCTACAGAGCCTAGGATGAAAGTGATAACGAAGTGCATGAACTTTGCTAACAGTTTGTGCCTGTGTATGTCAGAATATGTCCAAGGATTATTTGCTTCTTAAGCTATGGTTTGTTACGATTTTTTGCCTGAACGGCGCTTCTATCCCCTGATGGTATGGACACTGGAAAACTAGACCAATTATCAGACCTGCGTTTACCAGCGTTCATACGTAGTGAACGTGATGTTGAGAGACTTTTTTGTGAATAACTGCCCCATTGCACCGATAGGTTCAGGAAAGGTTTTCTGCACAATAAAAACACAAGACAGCCGGCAGGATTCAACTGCATAGCTTATGATGGTGGAGATAATCATTGGTTCGTCCAACATCTGTTTGATTGATAGATCAATTTCGCTGCAAATACAATTAATGTGAGTAAACCTTGCTAGAAATATTAAGTGGATATTCACGGTTGCCGAGAACAACTGGACATGGATAACCTTGTTACTGTAGTAATTGAAGATTGCAATGAAAGCTGCATATTCCGGAGCTGTTCGAAAACTTCTAACTTCTGTTCGTGAATTTATTTGAATTTGAACTCTGACATACCTCTGATGGAGATACGTTCTAGAGGATGTCCAGATACCACAAAGCCAAGAACAATTCAATCTCACAGTTTACAATGCAGCGTCTTCTTTCAAGTCATGTAGTTTTGAGCCTTTAAAGAAGAACTCGTTGTAAGATGCTCTTTGTACTCTTTCACATGTGGTGAAGTCGATTCAAATCAAGTGTATTAAAATCAATGTCAATGTATTTTATCAAATGCTGTGAGTCGCTATCTCAAACTATATTTAAGATCAGTTCATCCGCTTTGAGTGCATATCCTTGCCAACTTTCAGACTCAATGGCAGTTTTTTATTACCACATAATATAATCCATGACTGCTCTCCACGACACAGAACGTAATGTCTTCAGCTGCTGTCTGTAGGTTTTCGTGCCGTTTGAAGTATACAAGGCTTCACCTCACAACTGGGTTGAATGTCGATGATATTCAAGGACGCAGTACGGCGTTGGACAGCTTAGTGCATGATGGCAACCACAAATTCCCTGCATCAAGTGGTCGACAGGCCTGGTGCGAACGTGGAACCTCGTGCATGCTTATCAGATCTGAAGTCAACATATCTAGAAAATGATAATTTGGCATTTTATCAGTCAAACACTTACGAAGCTTCTTCAAATAGTGCACGCCGAAACAATGGCCTACGTCCACGCGTCAGAAGAAAGTTATCGCGTTACTCGCCTGAAAGGTAAAATTGGAATGGTTGATTTATATGTTGTGTATGAAATTTTTCTGTATCATATCTGTTTGAGCTCCATTAGCCATCTCCATTTTATGCTATGAAAGTACCAGTGAAATTGAATTCTTCGAGATAAAGAGAAATAGAATGAACTTACTGACATACATTTCATCTCTTTTTTTCCAAAAGTATACGAAGCGAGGGAAAAAAGGATCATACTGTAGTTGGGGGTAAGTCCTCGAGTTCAGAGTCCGCAACACTTGGAAGTGCTCCAGATAATGATCACGATGTAAAACTTCCTCAAGATCCGGAGGACACAGAGGTGATTCAGTTCGTAGGAGGCTCTGGAACACAAGGATACCAGAGACGAGACTCGGGACGACTTGGAGGCCGCCTGAAAGCAAATAATCTGAGTAACCTAGCAGCCAAAGTTCAGACCAAGTTAAGTCACGGAAGTTACTGCAATCTTATTGAGGTAACTTTCTTTCGCTCAGAACTAACGAGTCTTCTTGTTTTGAAGACTTCAGCAATGGTTATATATTCATAACTTCAGTTACATTTTGAACTGAATGATAATTTCATGCTTAAAGTCAAGACAACTTGGCTCATGGAGTAAAATTCTTACCCGATCTAATTCCGATCTGATTTCTTTTACTTTGCAGCTCGCAACTGAGATTCATCTTGAAGCAAAGGTAGCAAACACTTTAATTCCCACTTCATATCAATTGTGCTTTACATGGTTTCTTGCATTTTGCTGCAGATTTGTTGATCGAACTGAAAATAATACACGTATATGGAACTTTGAGTTTGAATGTCATGAGCTAAACTTTCAACTAGATTTGACTACTCTCTTAAGTATAATTCCTATATGATACAGGAAAAGCACAACACTACAATGCGAAGAATTTACGATGTTGTAAATGTAACTGAAGCTGTTGGTAAGCATTTTCAGTAGTCAATCCTTTGTAAGGGAATACGTAAATGGCAATCATTTGAGTGAGAATATGAGATATCATTGTAATCTTGGCTATTTCGTTCTAAGGTAATCTGAAAATTTGATATTTGTTGCTTAATAATCTTATCATAGAATACGTCTAAATTAGATTCTAATCTCTTTGCAGGATGTGTAGAAAGGTATGTGATATCAAGATGTGGAAAAAAGCTAAAACAGGGTTCAAAGGGATCCCAAGTATCTGGTTCTTTGATCAGGTAAATTTTAGTATTGATTCTGTGTATGAAATGCATTTGGATTGTGCATGGATCAGTCAAGTACAACTTGATTCCTGATTATAAAGCCCATAAAGTTGCTGATTCTAAACCTATTTGAGCTTCACTAATCGTATGCATATGATATAAGCAGATGGTGCAACTCGCCGTCGAACGATTGTGGAAATGCCAAAGCTGTGGCGGAAAGACTCAGAAATAACCTCAATGAGAAAGAAGAAGAGTTGAAAAGTCTTGCAGAAGAGGTCAGGGCGTCCAAAGATTCATCTCAAGGATTACTCAATTATATTTTGTTTGCTTATCCCAAAAACACTTCAAGTCATTATTCAGCCTTATGCGGACAAAACGAACATGATATTTTTTCTAATTTGAATAATAACTTCAAAGAGCATCCGTGGTCTCGCAGGTGGAACTTTTGGAGAGTCTGATGAGACATAGACAAGAGAAAGGTATTTCTGCTGAGGGTTCTCCCAAATCAATAAAAGACTCTCAAACTAGTGGAAGTCTGGAAGATTCTGAACACTTTTCTAATCAACCCCCTGCTTCGAAGCCACACGGAATATCGGTGCCTTTCTACATCCTTAAGACTAGTAAAGAAAGGTACGCGAATGTTTCAACACATTCCATTGCAAATCTTATCTACTGACTTCAATTAATACTATCTAGTAACTGAAACGTCATGTAGTACCTTTCTCTCCGTTTTTTATGTCAGTAAGTTAGGTTGAATATCGTGGAAGGTTCATGATCATCTAACATCAAGGTTTTGCAACTTGCAGTGATGACACAAATTTTGAAATCTGTACATATACAGATAAATTCGGGAAAGAATATCAAGTTGCGTTATCATCTGATCACCAATTTCAACAAATTCAGTGGAACTGGGTCGTGAAGGAAGTGTTAAGCAGTTCCGACAGTGACTTTTCAAGTAATTGTTAATATGTGCTTCTTGGCGATGAGGGATTCACATCATTGAGAGTTTCATTCACCAACAGATGAAAATAAGAGGCTCTATCTTAGTTTTTTAGCACATATTTTTTAAGCTCCTTCACTTCTAGTTGAACATTTTTTGTGATAAATGCATAGCAAAAGGGATTGTGAAGACCCCATCAATCCAAACATAGATGAAGCCATTGGTCTATGCATGTTTAGACCATGATAACATCACAATGAAAATACAAATACGCATAAAATATCCAAATTGTTTGGGATATGAGATACTATAGATTCTGGTTACGCGTCTAGTAATCTCAAAGTACTTTCAATACTTGTTTGAAATAAACAGAATTCCTCGATCAATGACTACGGATTGTGGAGTCAGAATGTCCGTATAAGAGCAATCATATCATATGATTTATATGTGATCCATTATCATGCTCTCAACATCTAGAGGGAGACAAGATAGAGAAGCACTAGCATTATATTTTTGCTACTTCAGCTTTTGATTGCGGCGAAACTTTTTCCATCTATGTAAGTTTAGATACAGCCCAATGACAATGGGTTGTTCACAAAATGTTCTAAGAATTTCAACTCAACGAGGAAATCAGTGTTCAGACTTGTGCGTTGCATCATCAAATTTTGAATTGCGTTCATGTTCACGTAGCTAGTTCAAAGCACAAATACCATAACGCATGGACCTCCTCTAACGTGGAGGTACAGAAGTTGGCCTGTTGCTTTTTCACAAGTGTTTGAAGAACCCTTTTTTTGTCGATATGGAATCTTTTGCTCGTGTTGTGTTGTTGATGATAAAGAAATAACTGTCGCATCAAGCATATTTGTTGCTTTGCAAAGCCCGGGCTAACGTCCACGTGAACTCATTGTGCAAATGAAGTGGGACCTTGATCAGCAAATGAAGGGTAGAACACATGAGGGGACAGCCTCGGAAAATCCTGCAGAAGCTTGATTAGGTGAGTAGTTTTGTGCTTTATCACCTATCTTTCACAACAAATGTGGTAATCCATAAAGCAAATAGATTTGATAAAGAATTTAGTGGAACAGTTGATATATTTGGCAATTCAAACTACTAGATTTCTTAGCATGAAAAGGTTTGTAATGTCTGCTGCCAATATTTCGTAAGGAATACTGTAGATCAAGTTTATTCAACGACTTCAGTAAACGTTCGTTAATCACAAGAGTTTCACAATATATTTCACAAATCTCTTAAAGTTTTCGTTCTTATACATTGCAACCTTTGACTTTTTAAGTGAAAATTTATATGTGACATATACCTATCGTATATGTATTTTCCATTCCGGTTTCTACACTATTCAAAACACGGAAAATGTTAGCCTCTAACATTGTACGTTATCAGCAAAAACTGTCAATCAACATGAATTATTGTCATATATTTGTTGAAACTAGCAGATGTGATCGTCATGAAGTCAGTTTCGTTATTGGATTTGTGAAAAAGTCATTCAAAGGCTGCGAATCCAGCAGGAGTTGTTTACTTGCACTGATATTTAGTGAACATGACATACTAACCTTCTCATACTGCACATGCAGAGAGATGGTTGATCAGTTAGGGGTGTGTTTCCCCATTCGTCTTGGTCAGTCCTGCAGGATGCGTGCTCTCTTAAAATGATGGATATCTCTCTGACAAGGGACAAGTGTGTGTACTTGCATCTCTTGTCCTTATGTATATGGATATTCTTAAACACTTACGTCTCCCCATCAGCAGGCAATGCGTCCGCATTATCACATGGTATATCAGTCCGAGTTGGACTCCTCGAAGACAAGAAGTGGAGACATTTAAATGAATCACGCTACCAATTTTGCTACAATGACTACAGAGTGTCGCTAAACAGCAATGTAATAGATAAGCTTTGCGTATGCAGTACAAATTATGATTAATGTATATGATTACTTATCTCTTTGTATACCGTGTTTGTCTATATTTGAGTGTTGCAGTTGATCATGCAAGTTTTGATAGCAATGTCAGATGGGTGATGTGAAACTGGATGATATTATCTAATATATATATATTATTGTTTTTCCTACTGAAATCCACATTCAAATATCACATAGTAACAATGATGATGAAAATTGAACAAAGTGGTGGTGCCTCACAATGTGTATCAAATCAGTGGAAATGTATATTAATTATATTTAAATATTTTACTAGTGTATAATGTTGTAATGATGGAACATAAAATACGTTCGCAAGACGACTCTAAAATATTGAATAATAAATTAGTATTTTCAAAGCAGTTGTAGTACTTGGTTCAAATCGTTTACTTACAAGGATATGGATTTAAGCAAATGAAGAAGAAGGAGGTTTTGAAAATATAACTCTCTGAAATTAAATGAACTGAAAAGAATTTTTGTACTCGCAAAAAATTTAATATAGATATAGTACGATTTAATTTCTGTCAAATATTACGATTATAAAAATTTTTAAAGTAAAATAGTATTTTTAGTTTAATTATAATATATAATAGTACATAGTATATTAATAAATTTTAGTATTTTTAATAGTTGAAAATCAAAAATAAACATGTTATGTAGGAACTTGATCAATGAATTCAAATGAATATGAAATATGACAATAAAGTCAGTTTTTCCGAAAACAGAATCGAACTCTCATCATGTTCTTTTGACAATTATAATTTTGCATAATTACAATCCATCAAGAGTATGGAATATAAATTTAAAATATACATGTATTAAAATAACAATAGGAGACAAATCAAGTAAACCACAAACATAAAAAATATATATTATACGTCAGCTTTTAGACGATTCATTTTCTCCGCTCTCATCCGTTCACTCATGAAAGTGGACAATGAGGAAGCTGTTCATAGGCTCGGGTGTCAATTGGAATCTGAAACGGAAAGTGATTTTGTTGTCAGTGACCTGTTAATGACAACAGTTAGTTTTTGGATATCGCAACGTCCATACAACCGTACCAAGATTCCGTATGTGCAAGAGCAGAGCTGTGGGATGACATAGATTAGCCTCGGTCTAGGTTCCTGCCTTCATTCTGGCTCAGTGGTCCACGATGGAGACCTTTCAGCCTAGTCTGTCTGTTTGTGAAGTACCATCAATTTTGACCGACCTGTTTGTGCTTGCTTTGACCCTCAGCTTTGGAGCTCACACATGTGTACATGAAGATTTGTCCTTGGCCAAAATCTGACCAGCATTTGGGCTACTTCAGAGCTATGAAGTTTTTGCCTTCTATGAGATTAGCTCTGAGTTACTGACTACTTGGGTAATATTGGATTGGTATGCAGTGCTCAGCTCCGAATTCCGATCCAATCCAGCCGTCTCGATCCGGAGAACGAGTGTGGATCACCTCTTATAATGATGACCATGGTAGCTAGTCGAGAGCGTGGGAATCACGATCGCACAGATTCCACGGCTGAAAAGGGAAGAAATCCTTGTCTTCTCATCTGCTGGAGATTTCTTCACTTTTTTCTCGAGAACTTTGTCGTAAACTCCATCTCGGTTTGTGATATACTCTAGCTTGTGTGTGAGTCACAGGCATGATTCTCTTGAGAACGGCAAATGTCACCGCCGCGTTACGCTGACATGGACACGTACAAAACTATCAGATTTGGAGAAAGTAGCAAGTGAGGTGAATGAATTCATCTCCATCGTAAGAACATCAACTTCTACGTCTGGCAATTCTCCATTTCGTTTTCAGAATTGAATCATGTCTAATGAGTTAGCACATGTACATGTGCATTCACCCTATTCTTATATTTAATCCCGGCTCCAGCCGTTGTCTAAGGACATGGTTACCGGTCCCATCGCACCAGGATTCACCAATCTGTGCTGTGAGGCCGTAACTTCCCCAAGGAAACGACCGACATTGGAGCTGTACGTGACTATGGAATAGTCACAAATCCTTGAGAATATGTACAAAGTTGCAATAAAATGCTCCTGCGATTCCCGCTTCAATTCTTCCGGCACTCGGTTGTGTGCACCATAATTTTCAAGGAGATGTGAGTCGGAAAGCCAGTCGTACATGATCAATCTTTTCGTTGACGACGATGATTCGTTGCCTGCATTGTGAGAAGGAAACGTACTATTGCTTACAGTTGCAAGGCCCGCTTTAGAAAGAGTTTCGTCCCCTCTTCCACCGTTTATGACCGACGCTAAGGACTCGATTGCAGTACCAGAATCAGATATGAGGAAAACCGATGGCCATCGAAAGCCATGCTCTTTCTCCATCTCCCTCATTTTGTCAGCAAAGTCAGACACATCTCTGTATTTCTTGTTCTTATTCCAGAAGGGATCTTCCCTCTGCACAAGCCCAGGTACAGTACACTGAAAGTAAGGAGAACCGGACTTCACCAACATCTCCTTCTTTTGCTTTTCTCTCAGCTTCAGTAGAACTTCTCTCTCCCAACAAATGGTTTCAAATCATACAGAGCTTGACACTGAGCTTAAACAGATCAGAATGCAATCGATCATGATTTTGGAAAGGAACTTCGGTCTAAGGTCAACATGTTTTCCTCTGATCAAGCTATCTACACACCTTGTACGGTAGGCGTAAGATGCTTGGAAAACGGATTTGACTGTTTGCAAGATGTACAGCTCTGACAAGATAAAAATGAACAACTTCCCCAGTACGTGAATACGTACGACCTGCATCGAGCTAATGCAACATGCGCCAGCCGTTTGAGGTAGATCGGAGGAGATCAGATCGAGATACATCATATTCACGGACATTCAAGTTCAATGCTTTGGAACTTACAGCTTTATCAGTTTGACGAGCATGTATACCAAGAACGGGGGGCCTCCAAAGCGGCCGGCCGGATTCATCCGAGTACCCAGCCATAATACTGTCGGCGATCATTTTCACACGCTCCGAAGTTTTACTGAGCATCCAACCGCTCAACATCGATATCATCAGGAAATCTAGGCGGCTCGGTTCTATCCTGGAGTTCGTGCACCGATCTTTTTCACCGTATATTCCAACCATACCTGACCCTTTCCTCTTCAGCTTGTGCCAAAACTTGACCTTGTAGTAGCTTAGAGCATCCTCGTACATTATTGGATCGATGCAGACACCAGCTCGACCTTTTCTGAAAGGCTCCAGTAAGGTGATATTTCCAGGTGGAAAGGAGTCCCCATCTTCTATAAGTGCGTAGTCCCAGGTTACCAAATTGCCGGACTTGTATGTCGTCTCGTTGCCGTAAAATTCTTCTATGCTGCACGATGAGAAGTTGAAATAGCATCCGAGGTTACTTGACTCCGGAGGACAACCGTAGTATGTGGGGTTCTTCCCATTTCTTGTAGTATCCAGCACCGTATACCCCCTCAACATCCCAATCAAAAGAGGCACTGTGAACACGTGCACATTAGACAGCAAACCTGCCACAATGTCAACGAGTATCAGTTATATGTTGATCCTCGATAGATCTCGTCCAGAGTGCGGTTGTCTCTACAAGAGGTTCATGAAAAC